GCGGGGTTCCTCTATTACCGTGGGGTCCTCCCCCGGAAAATTTTAGAAATTTGTAATCTAATTAGACGCATTTTGTGGCTTCCGTGACGCAGATTTTCCATCAATGTCAGCAGAAAAATTACGATTTTTTTTTTTAACTTTCAGCAGAAAAGACGTTTGAATTATATGCATTCAAAAAGATCCTGAAATTTGTTGAAATTTCAACTCGATTTGGACGCATTTCGAGGCTTCTATACGTATATTTTTCAAAAAATTATGCAGAAAATTAAGCGTTTTTTTTTTTTTTTTTTTTTATACTTAAACACGAAATACCTTCAAATTGTTACATTCAACAAAGCTGGAAATTTTTTTAAATTTCAACTCTATTTGGACGCATTTTGAGGCTTTTCTGACGAAAATTTTAGGAATGAACATGGTGTTTTCCACCTAAAGTCTGTCTTAAGGCAAGGACTTTCGGGTAATATTCCAAAAATTGGACAAAATTGACGGTTAATCAAGGATTTTTCACGGCGAGACGAACCGCGATAATTATATGATATTATTTTTACTTTTACGGCTGATTCGGCGACGATGTACGAAATGGGAAACGGAGACATTACTGACACAAAAATACCACCGTTTATTCAACCAACGCTGGGAGGCTACAAGGACGACGATAATAACCGTTGCCGATGCCGACCAACACCAATCTTGACGATCAGAAACCACTCAGGCAACCACGAAACGAAAAAGCACTGATAAGAATTTAGAACATTTCGGAAATACAGGGTGACCCAACACCTATGCCTTAAAATGAATGAGAGTATTGTATCGACTAAAAAAATATTATTTTCGGTCATGATTTTTTCTCTCTCCAGAGGCGTCCTCCTCAGAGACTTTGTCTGCAGGGTGACTAAAACACCAGATACTGGGTGGCTGAAGTAAAACTGAGATCTCCTGATTTTTCCGAATTTGCGAGATGGATTTTGAGACATTTGAGGACGTTACGGGAGTTTAAATTACTAGACAAGTTATCAGAGTATAAGAGTATGTAAAATTTAAAAAATTTACGAAATTTAAAAAACTTTGTTAAAAAACAATATATTTTTACGTTACTTGAGCAATGATGTCGAATTTAAAAACGAGTAATAGAATGAGTCCCGTGTGGGAGAGAGGCAGGCAATTTTCGATGCAAAAAATTGCAACTCATTACAATTTTATTGAGGTAAATTTCAACAGGAAGAGCCTCTTCAATCAGTAAGTACGCAACATTCATAACACCTCGATGCAGAAGCGATAATTTCACCATGTATTAGCAATCGGTTTCTTTTTTTTTTTTTCTTTTTCACCATTACTTTCTCCTTCTCCTCCTACTTTTCTCCCTTTATTTTGTGGTCTGAGGTTTTTTTCTTTCTTTTTTTCCCTATTTTGTCGGTGGATAGCCGCGAGGTGGTCCTTTGATGGCGCGAGGTGCCTTCGGGATTTGGGCCGTTAAGCGGCCAGATCACCCCTTTTCCGCGTGGTGATTCATTACCCTAACAAGTGGTACTTACATTCAAGGTTTTTCTGGGGACTTGTTACACCAAACTTGACAGTTGGGTCACACTGTAGAGTTCCAGAGCTTCAAAATACGGCATTGTTGCCAATTGTTTGACAAAATGTGGATATTTTACAGAAGTCTTAATGAAGAAAAATGTACTATCTGACTACTATGAAACACGTTGATCTGTATGACAGAGGCCAGACCTGAGGATCGATAGCGATTGCTCCAGTCGAAAAACGTTATTCGAATGAATGCTCTTTACGTCAATAACTAATGTGAATCTATAAAGTCCACTTTTGCATTGCTTGAAAAACTGCGTTATTTTAACCCTTAACATAAATGTTCTTCCTGTGGCTGTGTTGATATTCCAAAGAGAGGAGAGTAGCTTTTTGCGAGCGGTTTTTGATATTCATATGTAAGTTGGAAATAATGAAGAATTCATGGGATTTCTCTTGTGTTTTCGTGGAATTTTTAATGAGTCAAACCTGAATTTTCCCTGCGTTTTCTTCAAGTTTTCTCTTAATTTTCCCTGTGTTTTCTCTATTTTTCCCTAGGCTTTCTTCGAGTCTCTGGGGCGTTTCCCAGGAACTGTATCTGTTTTCCCCTGCTATTCCTATTTCCGGTGAATTTACATATTATTTCCCCTGATTTTTGCTTTGTTTTCCTTGAGTTTTCCCTGGGTCTTCTTTCAACTCCCCTTACGTTTTGCTTGACTGTTCAAGCAAAACGTAAGGGGAGTTGAAAGGAGACCCAGGGAGAACTCAAGGAAAATACAGCAAAAATCAGGGGAAATAATATGTAAATTCACACTAGACACAGGTCTAGTGTTTTCCTTGGCTTTTTCTTGCTCTTCCCTTGAAATATCTGTTTCTCTTGGATCTTCATTGTGTTTTATTTGAATATTCCTGGGGCTTTCTTTTCATTTTCCTTGGATTTTTCCAAAAGTCTTTCCTGATTTTATTTGCATCCCCCGATATTTTTCTTGAATCGGCTTGATTCATTTTCCCTAGTTTTCATTGCATTTCTTCTCATTTTCCCCCATGTGTTTTCTTTGAATCTGTTTAGCCTTCCACCTGGATTTTCTCTGTTTTTCCTTGATGAGCATGTCTCCAGAATGAGGGGAGGGGAGTGGCAGAACTTTCCTTGACTTTTTTCTGACCATTTCTCCGCGCGACTCACTTTTTCTGAGTCCGTCAAGAGAGACTCTGATGAGAATTGAACAATCACTGACAATTTTGGGAGCGCACGATGTAAAGCAAATGTACAGAATCTCCCCCGACTCTCTTGTACTTGTTATTTTTTCCGACCTAAATACAGCAATTTGAGGAAATTATAAACAATATCGTTCACTGGAAAAAAAAAAACACATTGGATCTGGAGTCCAGACTCTTGAAAACATTGAGAAGAAAAAATACTCTTGATTCAATCGGATTTTAGCTTGAATCAAAACGAAATCCGCTTAAATTAAGAGGCTTGGTTCTTGATTTAAGCTAGATTCTGATTGAATCAACAGTGCTTTCTCTTGTCGATGTTTTTTAGAGTCTGGACTCTAGATCCAATGTGCTTTTTTCCAGTGTTCCCTCCTTTTTCTATGAAAATTAAGCACCGGTAGAAATTTTGAGGCGTCGCAATTATTGAGATACATTCATATCGAGTTTTCCTCGGTAACTGACCCACGCAACGTTTAGCAACAACGCAAGTGGTGCATGTTACAATCAATTGTAATCACATAGTAATAGTATTGCTAGGATCGGGATGCTGTGTGTGTTGCAGTTGTTGCCTAGTCACTAATTGAAGGGGCTCCACTCGTTTGACAGTTATTGCAATAATTTATTTTTTTGTGAATGTATATACGTTGCAACTTTTTTTTGCATTGCAAATTGCCAAAGTACCTTTCTAACACACTGGAACTCATGTTTTCGATGGATGAGAATTGGAATTTATTGTCTTGTAAGAAAAAACTGGCAGGCTACGCCCCCTAAACGANCCCCCCTAGTACCAAGCGCCTCAGGCCTTATACGTCACGCATTACTCTCGCGGTTTTATACATATTAATAGAGTAGGATTCATACTGCCGTGACAGCGAGGAGAGCAGTAAGTGTCAAATTTTCGAAATCGAGTTTTCTTCAAAATTCGTCTTATCTCTTTTAGATGAAATCGCTGAATTAGCTAAAGCAGCGAAATTAATCTTACTTGTATAAAAAAGAAGAGACATATGAGTGAACAATGCTTTCAAGTAAAGAAAGTGCCGCCAGCACTTAAAGCTATCTTGCCTGACACTAACCTAACATGAAAATGAAAAACACCCTTTTTATGTAATTGAAATAAAATCGGTGGATTTTTAATCATCCAAAGGATTTCTAGGAGTCTTTTGAATGATTAGCGGCAATTTGACAAAAAGAACTGAAGCTTCTTTCAATAAAATCCGGTGAGACGCTTGTGAGCCCGTTTTCTCTTGACTTGATTTTTGCACTTACCGCTCTCTTGGCTATGACGGGAGTACGGGGAGCGATACAGGGTGTCTACGTAAACAGACTGGCCAAAAATCAGTACTTTTCCAGTACATTCCTAATAAATCCAAGGCCTCCTCGGCAGAAAAATTAAGTACACTGGAAAAAAAACCACATTAGATCTAGAGTCCAGACTCTTAAAAACATCGACAAGAAAAAGTACTCTTGAATCGATCAGAATCTGGCATAAATCAAAAACCAAGCCTCTTAATTTAAGCGGATTTCGTTTTGATTCAAGTAAAAATCCGATTGAATCAAGAGTATTTTTTCTTGTCAATATTTTCAAGAGTCTGGGCTCTAGATCCAATTTGTTTTTTTCCAGTGTACTTTTTCAGTACCTCCAATTGATGAAATCCAAAAAGTTTCAAAAATTTGAATTTCTCGCTTATATTGCGACAAAAAAGACAACAAATGAAACAAATTCCGGACCTTCTTGCGGGATTTCCGCACTCTTTCAATGCTTCCAGGCCGCCCTTAAAAAATCAGTACCGTTTCTGGACTTTCCGAAAATTCCGGACTTGTAGACACCCTCCCAAGTAGCAGAACTTGCAACAAAATCGTTTGATTCTTGCAACTAATAGATTGATATGCAAATTGCCTATTCTCTACCCCGAAGGAGCTATCATTGTCGGAACTAGTTGCAATTAAGTTGAAACATGTTTCAACTTCAATGTATTGCTGGTTGCTTATCTTTAGATTTTCAGATCAGATCGCCGAAAATCGGCACTTATCGACCAAATGTTGACCAAAAGTTGCAACTTCGTTGCAACTAATACCAACATTGTTTCAACTTTTACATTGAAAAATGCTACTTGGGCTGCGATAACCGTTTTTTCTTCTCTGTTGCAGGGCCCTGAACATGGAAAACTGCTACTACTACCCGTGCCCGCTGACGGACGGGATCTCGCAATCGATCGAGGCGTCGAGCAAGTCGCAGGTGTTCGAGGAGTGGACGGCCGGCACCTCCCGGAACACGGTCCTCAAGTTCCGCCGGAGCGCCCTCTCCAAGCCGCCCCCCGAGACCCCCGCCAACATCCTCCACATGACCTTCAAGACCCAGCAGGCCGAGACCAAGCTCCTCATCGCCCTCCTCCACTCGCACGGCCTCCAGGAGGTCGCCCAGGAGATCTCCGAGTTCAACCTCCTCTGGACCGGCGTCCACCTCAAGCCCCAGATCCTCCGCGCCATGACCGTCCACCAGCGCGTCAACCACTTCCCCCGCTCCTACGAGCTCACCCGGAAGGACCGCCTCTACAAGAACATCGAGAAGATGCAACACGTCAAAGGTCTCAAGCACTTCAACTTCTTACCCTTGACCTTCGTCATGCCTGAGGGCTTCCGCGACCTCACCACCTCCCACTACCGCCACCGCGGGCCCTGGATCATCAAACCCGTCGCCTCGTCCCGCGGTCGCGGCATCCACATCGTCAACTCGCCGGAGGACGTCCCGCTCGAAGAACCCGTCGTCGTCGCCAAGTACATAGAGAACCCTCTCCTCATAAACGGTCGCAAGTGCGACTTGCGGATCTACGTGGCCGTCACCTCGTACGACCCTCTCATGATCTACATGTACGAGGAGGGCTTCGTCCGCTTCGCGACGGTCAAGTACACCGTCGGCAGGAAGAACCTCTGGAACTCCTGCATGCACCTGTGCAACTCGAGCATCAACAAACACCACTCGGATTACATCCGCACCGACGATCCCGATGCCGAGGACGTGGGCAGCAAGTGGACTCTGAGCGCCCTCCTCCGTTTGCTGCGATCCTCCAACGTGGATACGGAGTCCTTGATGCTGCAGATCGAGGACATCGTCATCAAGTCCATCCTGGCCACCGCTCACCCCATCGTGGCCGCTTGCAAGCTCTTCGTCCCGCACTCGAACTGCTGCTTCGAGCTCTACGGTTTCGACATCCTCGTCGATTCCGATCTGAAGCCCTGGCTCTTGGAGGTCAATCTCTCGCCTTCTTTGGGGTGTGACTCCCCCCTCGATACCAAGATCAAGTCGGCCATGCTGGCCGATTTACTGACCCTTGTGGGTCTCCCGGCGGTCGACCCGATGGTTAGCCGCCCGGCGACGAAGTATCGCCCTTACAGTGCCTTCGTCTCGCGGAGGGAGAAGCTGGAGGACTCTTTGGCGCTGCCCCGGATGAAGAAGAGCACGGCGAGTGCGACCGCTTTGAGCCCGGACGAATCGCGGTTGATCCGCAACGTCAGGGCGCAGTACGAGCGTCGCGGCGGGTTCAATCGGATCTTCCCGTCGGCGGACACCTGGAAGAGATACTCCATGTACCTGGATCAGACGACAGGTATCCCCATCTCGGGGAACTCGAATTTGAGCAGCGTCATTCCGATGACGCATAATTATAATTACTTCTTGCACCAGTACTTGTTCCCGGATATAGCGCTCCCGCTCTCGAGTAAGAGCTCCAAGCTGCGCCCGTACAGTCAGATGAACAGCATCTCCAGTCGGAGAGTCAAGAAGAAAGAGGCGCCCCCGAAGATTAGCAAGACCTCGAAGCGCGCGTCGGAGGTGCTGAGCACGATCTCCTTGAACGGGACCAGCAAGAAGTTGCCCACCTTACAGATTGTATAACCGATCTCGCATCGAAAATGGAGCCTCCTCCTGTCTTTTCTTCGGTTCGGTGCTTCGGTATAAATAGGAAATCGCAATTATTGTGTTCAAAACAACTGTGTTCAAAACTGCCTAGATCTATTTTGATAAGTATGAAAATTTAGGTGCACTGGGAAAAAAAACACATTGGATCTAGAGTCCAGACTCTTAAAAACATCGTCAAGAAAAATTACTCTTGATTCAATCAGAATCTAGCTTAAATCAAGAACCAAGCCTCTTAATTTAAGCGGATTTCGTTTTGATTCAAGCAAAAATCCGATTGAATCAAGAGTATTTTTCTTGTCAATGTTATCAAGAGTCTAGACTCTAGATCCAATGTGTTTTTTTTTTTTTTTTTTTTTTTTTTTTTTTTTTTTTTTTTTTTTNTTTTTTTTTTTTTTTTTTTTTTTTTTTTTTTTTTTTTTTTTTTTTTCCAGTGTGTGCGCCTGGGTGCGGTTAAATATCATTTTTAAAATAGAGAGAGCCTTGGCCATCAAATTCTAATTTAGTCGTTGGTCAATCGAAAGAAGAAATACTTCTCAAAGAGACGGAAATTAACTGCCTGTATAGTAGATAACTGTTTTACTTCATCTTACCTCGATTGGACTACATTTTGCAATTCGGAACTTCAATTTCTGGCTCGGGTTAGAAAAACCGTATGCCTTAATTTGTTTCCCTATTTATACATACATGTTTTTACAGATGTGCCAGAAATTGTAGTTCCTAATTGCAAAATAAAGTTCAATTAATACTCTGCCTTGCTGAAGAGGAACGTTCTACGAGCTTTCATGCGTTCCCAGATTTCCTCCGATAAAAAAACGAGTTTTGAATTATTAATTAAATTAATTAAATACATAAACCAATTAAAAATATTTTTTTTAAAAAAATCAGATTTCATTGTGGGAGAGTTGTGAGTTTTTTTCTTGGAGATTTCATTTTTACCTGAAAAATTCAAGGCAACAGGAGTATTTTATCGCAGGAAATTTGGCAACGGTCGATGAATTTTCATAGGGCGTTATTCTCTGGCACGACGGTATTGAATCTTAAAATTTTGGTGTTCAAAACGCTTCAAAACTAAAGAGTGCTAAAATCGAAGCTGCATTTATTTTGACCTGGACTCCTGGGTGTGGAGAAATTCTTCTGTTTCCAAAATATTTCATTCAACTCATAATAGACTTGTGGTTATATTTTGATTAAAGGAATAAAGTAACAATGCGCACAGAAAAGTTTAGTGTAGGTTCGGATTTAGACAATTAATTTCAGCCAATCTATTTGTCAGACTCAGTTTTCTTTTATTTGTGGATTAGTTTTACTTTTTTTTCTTGTGTAAAAGTTCCCTCTCGGATCTGAGGAGGAACATATTTTAGGTGACACTTATCTGAGGTTTCGAGTAAAATTGGATTATTTTTTTACATTTAGAACTGAACTAGAGGATAATTTATTTTTTTGTATAATGAATGAAAGTAAATAAAGCAAGCAATAAATATTGTGCCTACAATGATAAGTAGAGAAGAAAAAGAATTAAAAGGAGGAATGAATGAATGAAGAGTGGTAGAATGTTGATAAGCAGTACAGATCTATCAAAAAAGGAAATTTTAAGAAACGAGCTAAAGATAGTACTCCAAACCCCTACTGCTTTTTTACAAAACCCCAACTGCAGATAGACCTGTTTCGCTTAATGACGTCTAATTCTTCATACTTCATTCACGCATTTTTTACCTTGACATTTCACTTTCAATGCACATTTTTCATTTCACTACAAGGTGGGCAAGCATATTTCTGTCAAAATTAGTTGTTAACCTTTAATCTATGTTCAATTTCCTTTGCGTATCATATTCGTCGTTATATAGTTTTCAGAAAGGTGTAGAGATTAGATTTTACTCGGTTGAAAGTTAGAGACTCACTAAAATCTTCAAAACACAAAACTTTAGGGAGGAAATTTTTCCAAATTTTCTTGAACGTTAACGTAGAGTTTTTTTAAAACGTAGTTTAACATAAACACGGATGAATCAGCACGACAATCAGATTTTTTTTCTCATTAGTTTCTTTTGGCAAATATTTTTTTCCTTTCAAAACAAAAGCCAAAAATTCCAAAAACAAATAATTTTTCGGTCCATTTGACCGTTCTCTTCACTAGACGTTAAATTTCTTTAGACGTACCAATAGACCTAATAGACAACCGATACAAGATACTTTCAAACCACAGCTTTTTTGTATTTAACTGTCTGAGTCATTGTGATCACTTTTTTACAGACAATTAATTGTAACTGAGGACAATCAAACGCCAATTTTTAAATTTATATCTGTAAATTTTAAGAATACTTACTTGACATTCTGAGGTTCAAAATCTCGGAATAATCAAGCTCATTTTAAAATGCAGTCTCCGAATATTTGATTGTTACAAAGCTTGTGAAGCAGAATAATTTCATTTGTTGCATATTTAAGAAACAACGTTTTGTAGCCTATTGCATATTTAATTGTACTATGTTCTTCGGAAATGTTTGAAGAATAACCATGCAAAGTCTGCCTTAACTGATGTGTATAACTATTGTGAGTGGCTGATGGATAACTCAGAGAGGTAAAATTTGTTCACGCGCAGAGGAGTGTTTCTGCCTCACGGAGGAAAAATACTAAGCAAAAATTTGAATTTTCTTGAATTTCTCCAATTTGTTTGTTTAAACTGAACGGTAAAGAATGAGCCTTACTACATGAGATGTTGCTCAAATTTCTCTGATGTTTCATTTCTTGAACAGAAATTAAGCAAAACTGAAACTTGAAATTTTGTGAGTATGTTCTTCTGGTTTCAGGGTAAAATCACAGACATTTTAAAATTAAGTCGCTTCATTCTCTGGTAAAATATATAAAACATGAAAGAAAATTAAGCAATGTGAAATATAAATGGGCTAATTCCGCTTCAATCCGTCCAGTTTTTACTCAGCTTTTAGAGGGAAAAACTAGTGCCGAGAAATGGGATTTTTTCGATAGTTTAGGATACAAGGCCCTACATAGCGCTCCTCAATATTCCAGACACAGATAGTCAATGATTTGTTACCACAATTATAATGTACTTGCAGGTTTTTCTTTTTGTATTTGTTTCAGTCCTAGAAGGCCTAGGTCTAAGGCCTGGGATGAACGTATCATTTATAAATCGACTAACGAATAATGTTGCTAAAATGAAGAATTAAAGTCTTTCAATAAGTTATTTCGAGTTATTTTTTTCCTGTTTTCCGAGAAGCAAGTGTTTACAATCAGCCAAGGAAAAGGGGAATTTGTCCAGTAGGACAGATGAATGAGTCCTTCTCAAAAAGCCTTGAGCATTAGAAATGAGAATTTGAGAAAAACTGATTTAAGGGCCTGTTCTAAACCTAAGAGCTCATAAAAATTCTTGTAAAAGAAGATTGTAATTTGAAATCAGATTGTGGTACTTTCAGAAATAGTCTTATAATTCACACGGTACAAGAAGAAAAAAACCAATTGGCGCTAGAGTCTTTTTGAGGCTTAACGGCAAAATTTCGACATTTGCCCCCCTCCCCCAAGTATTTGTACTGATTACACCATAAAATGCATGGAAAACTTCGTTTACACTGTTTGAACTTGAAATTATGATGATAGTGGCTGATGATGTTTTCAAAGATACTGTTTTTCAATTTGGTACTCACTGAACAACAATGAAACATTATTAGAGATTCCAGTCATTGTTTCGCCAAAATGGCAAAACCACAAGAATAAATTTTTCAGGGATGTCATTTTCCTCATACGTTTAGCTTTAATCCATTGTTTTGGATCAACAGCTAGTGTGATAGAAAATCGGTTATGTCATGCTACTGCTTGACTCTGAATGCTTTGCATGGAATAGGATCATTGCAGAAAACCTGAATTTTGTTGTAAACCAAATCAGCTAACATTTTAAGTTTTAAACCTGAAGTTGAAGGTATGGAAAAGGACACGTTTGAAGTGGATTTGCTTAAGATATTATGTCTTTTTAAATAATAATAACAGTGGCGTGCGGTCCGGATAAGCAAGGCAAGCACTGCTTGCCCAAAGATTTCAAACGAAAGAAGAAAATTACACCTATTTCATGTTGAACATTTTAGCAAATATAATTTATAAAAGGTGTTCAGTAAGTAAATTGCATTAAAAATAGAAAAAGAGAGAGACAGAAATACGTGTAGAGCCACAGCAGTGGGAAAGCGGCTGGGCGGATGGAGGTGGCGCAGCGCGCTGCGCCGGCAGCGCCCGAACACGGGCCAACCCATGCGCTGGAGAATCGCTTGCGATCAGCTGAGCGGAGAGCCACTGCTCGGCGGCGGAATCAAGGTGGGCGGGTAGAGCGGTACGTTCCGAGTCCGAGCCCTTCGCTGCGCGATCGCAGCTCGCTTCTCTTGGCCATCTCTTGGCTCGTCACCGCAGCGCGCTGCTTCTGCCTCCGATGCGCTATCTTGCTCCCTCTTTTCGTCGCGGTTGTAATTGCTCCTCCGCAGCAAATGCCCTTAAATTCTATAAAATTTCGCTCACTTGGATCTAATAGCTGATGAATTAGATGATTCTGAGTCATGTTTTAAATACAGAAAGTTGATTTTTGGGGAAATTTAAGTAACTCAAAAAACTCTTATAGCAAAATTAGGAGTTAAGAGCATGGAGTCGTCCTCCAATGATCAATAACAATCGAAACAAGTTGAGTAAACGAAATCATAAGTAAGAGAGAAAGAAATAAAGCCACAGTTCTTCAAGACGTTTCATCAGATTTCATCCGAAAAACAGAGCATATAGAGTAAAATTTTAAGAACTTTCTAGGGAGGCTAGGGGGAGGAGGAAGGGAAAGAGACTACGTCCCCCCCCCCCCCCCCGTGGCGAACGCTACAGCTTGCCCTGTCACTGAACCCACCGCACGCCACTGAATAATAATAATAATAATAATAATAATAATAAAAAAAAAAAAAATAATAAAAAAAAAAAAAAAAAAAAAATAAAAAAAAAAACAAGATCAATCTGCACTATTCAATCATTTATCAATTAAGATCCTGTGTCTCACAAGTGCAGAAACTTACTAAAACCTCAAAAAGAAAGACATATTTGTACAACAAGTACAACATATACTTTTCTTTTATCCTTAAAACTTTTTAATATAGGCACAGAGGTTTCAAATTGACGTGAGTATTGGTGCTGTGGGCAACGATTGGACTAAATTTTGCAATTAGGAACTACCATTTCTGACCCATCTGCAACAACACTTATGTGCATTGGGAAACTAATATTGCATACATTGTTTCAAAACTGACCCAGAAATTGTAGTACTTATCGCAAAATAAGGTCCAGTTAAATGCCGCAGTCAAAGTTCTAATGAACAGACGACCACATGGGTCGCACTTGGTGCTTAAGTTTTTAGAAGAGTGAATGGAATTTTCAATCGCTTTCTTTACGCATTAAAAGTCCGTTTTTTTGCTTGCATTTAGTCTACTAACTGCATTTATGCCTACTGTGTAAGCAATACCAAATCGTAAATAACTCAGTTTTTCATTTTTTAGTCCACAAGTCGTTTTGAAAACGAGTCCTAAGGCATTGCACATACTAACGGTGAAACTTTCAAACCACATATCTTGGTTTGCAAAGATGCAGACTTCCTGTCATACTTTATTTATTGGAAAACTATTTAACGCCAATTCGTAGAAACTTCCATAAATTTCCTTCTCTGTGTGGAGAAAATTCTGATGAGAAATTCAAAGATTAATGTTCATTTGATCTACTTTAAAAAAACAAGAGCAGAGATTTTTAAACACCGTAAACGAAACATGCGGTTCCAGAGTTTCACCTACAACATGTGTGTCTCTTCAAAACTTTCGATGTAGGTAGCACTTGGGACACTAGTACTGTATTTCATGTAATTAAAACAAACTCTCAGTACGTAAAACCCCAATCTATCCGACTAGACTTTAAATATATTGAGACGTGCAAGCCTACCTTCAGCTAGATCATCCGAATCTCCTGCTTTCCATTCTGAGCTATCTTCATGCGGAAACGGATCGTCATCCTGTTTTGCAGGTTGCGTAGGCACTGCATAGCGCGTCACAGCTTCTTTATTTGGGAAGATGTACAAAGACTCCATATTTTTGTTACATTTTACTATCAACCTGCCGAAAAAATTTAAAAAATCTTTTTAGGATGACAATCAAACTGAACACTGAGCGCCCGCAGAATTTTGATGCGAAAAAAAAGCCAGACCTAACCCAATTTATAAAGCAAAATTTCTGCGATGGACATGATACTAATTTGTATTGAGCGATTATAATGATGGGAGAGAAGCAAAAAATTAAGAGAATCGAAGTCACAAAATAAATTCAAGTAAGCGCTGATGCGTTTCAGTACCCTATAGTCCCTTCTTCAAGGCTAAGATTATGACTGATTTTCTGAAAGGCACCAACATTTTAATTCCACCTTTGTACAGAAAGTCCAAATCAGAGCCACTTAATTAAAAATTTGGAGCATTTTTCTCTGTGCCTTTAACAAACTGCTAGACTTTTTTTTTGCTTCTCGACTTAATGTTAAACACCTAATTTTTTGCGGATTTTTCAGATCTGACCCACTTATACAAATTTTTAGACATTTTCCCAGATTTTAAAAGCAAATTCCCCCCCCCCCAAAAAAAAAAAAAAATATCAGAATTTTGTTCAGATTTTCCAGACCCAGATTCCTTACTGTTAGTCTCCAGACAAAAGAATGTAACTCCATTCCGAGGTAGCAAAATTTACAAAAACAATTCCATTTCCGACAAGAATATGACTGTGCAAAATATGTTGAAAATTCTACTAATTTTTGTAAGTTATCAGAGCAAAAATCAGTGCAGTTTACATCTAAAAACACTCGACAGTTTCCTAGTGAAAGCACATTTTGCAGCAATAGAATGTAGGTGCGTTCTTTTGTCTGGAAAAAGACTTCATGTGCAAGTTTTTAAACAAATTTTCAGGCTTTAAAGGCCAACTTTAGAACTTATTCTAGACTTCTGGACCAAAGATAAAAGTGTCCTGAGCTGGTCTAAAAACTTTTGTTGCCTCCTTCCAAAGCCTCGTTATTTTTTTAATTCGTTTTTAAAACCTCCTCATTCCCACTTCCGTTCCACCAGTCATGAGGGTCGAGAAGTTTCTGCACCCCTGCAAAAAACCGACGAAACTTTACTTTACTTACGTCTTTGTCTTAAGATTCATCTCAAGATAAACGACGGCAAGATTGGAGGCCATAAAGTAATTCGTATCTTTCAGCAAACACTTTTCTTGATGAGTGTCCAGGTACGGATTCACTGCGTCGCTCATGGTGCGATCGATGCTAAATCCATACTACAAAAAGTCAACATAAATAATATAATATAATTAATAAGAATAAATATAATTCTTACACAAATTACTGAAAAAATCTCTATGCAATAGTTTAGGACTACTGAGGTATGTTACATAATGTCACATGAAATTTAATGGGCGGAGGCTAACAGGACACGTTACATTTGACCCCATGTAAATAAATATCCAAAATTTATGGCATAGCCTGAAAACCTTTCATAGTTACCAAATAGTGTACAAAATCAGGACTTTTTCCCATTTGACCCCTTATGAAAATCAAAATTTAATTTTGTAATCTGCACCTGTCTATATAACATATGGCTGATAGCACATATGTTTTTTCTAAAATGAGCGAGAAACATTAGATCCTTTTTCTGCTGTGCTAAGGAAAAACGCTGTATGACCCTTCAGACTTTGTCTAAGAACTCTGCACTCTCCTTATGGGAAAGTGTGCCCTGTTCGATTTCCAATTTTTGTATTGTATTAAACTTGTCTATCGATGTTGATCAGAAGTCGTCATTGCGCCAAGACTGTTTCTGCACAATCCGCCCCCTGAAGTTGACTTTTATGACTTTAGATCAGCATCCATAGACGAGTTTAATGCAATTGAAAATTTGTAAATCGAACAGGGCACACTTTACCGTAAGGAGTGTGCAGGGGTCCTTCCTCCAATAAAACATGAATTTTCTGGAAAACTTTAAAATATTTTTCTTTCAAATTTTGTAGACTTTTACTCAGAACTGTATTGAAAATGCCTAAAGATTTCAAATGAAAATATCCATAATTTTCAACAAAAATTAATATTTTCAGGGAAAATTTGTCAATATTCAAATGTTAATACAATTTTTCTTTTTAGCAAGGCAGTACAGCAAGGCAAGTATGGCAAAATTTAGTTCATTTTGCAATATCTAGTGGTCAATTGGATTAAGAATGGGATACACTTAATAGTCACTTACAACATCATTTGAATTTAATGGTTCAGGATGAAACTGTCGTAGTTTGACATCTAGGCCTCCTCCTTTGAAAAATCCAAAGGTACTCACAGATATGTACGATCGGTCATCATTCTGCAAAAGAAACAAAGAGCAATAAGCTACTTGTGTTGATAAACATACGGACAAAATAAAACCATAAAAATGTGCCCCAAACAACAGGACAGGACGGAGGAATATTTGGAAGAATGGAAGACATAATGGACATTGATTACTCTTTTGGAATTTTCTGGCTTTAATATCCCCGAAGGATAGTGTAAACACAAGAACGTTGTTTGCTGAGGTAACAATCTGCAAGGTGGAAACACCTCCTTTTCTTTCTCTAACAGTGTTGGCAGATGAATTTCTAGCTCCGATTGAAAAACAACCGAAGTTTTTTAACGAAATTCCGGAAACTTCTCTAAAATGCCAGAGATTCTGAAGATAAAATTTTGTCCGAGATTTTTCGAAAAAGCCGGAGATGCCGCAGACTGCCGAAGAATTTTTGAAAATCTTTTGAAATTTGATTTTCTTCCATAAATTACACCATTTCCAAGAAAATCAATGATAAAAGTCATCCGTACAGAGCTACGTCATAAAAAAAATCAAAGATGTCCGAAATGCACACCTCCTTTTTTTTCTCCGTGATTGATACCAGCATTTTTTTTGTTACTTAATCAATAGATTTTTACAATTAGAAGCTAGTAAGTCAGCAAAAGCATCTATTCTCACAGGTATTTCCTACAGGAAGGGTGTTTTTTATAGAATCTCCGGCATTTTTTTGAAAATCTCCAGCATTTTCAAAAAGTTCTCAGCATTTCGGTAAAAAACTCCAGCTCTTTATCAAAGGGTTCCCTGAATTTCATCTAAGAACACTGGGCCTGCCTCTACAAGCAAAGAGGAAGCTCTAAAACAACTGCAGACACTCTCCCATAAACCTGAACGCCGTTCCCCAAAGGAGACTAGAATAAGGCAAATTCAACTTCCCTGAGTGTATCCGTGGGGATAAGTCTTCTAAGGTTTACCAGAGAAAAAAGGACTTTCCTTAATTTAAGGACAAGGTATGACACATGTTTACTCCGACTTGAGGTGGTATCAAAGATTAATCCTAGGTATTTAGCCTCCTCTACCACTTTTATATTGACAAACTGATCACTTTTAACGGAAAGACAAAGCAGTACACAAAGAAGACTTGGGGAGTATGGAGCGATCCTATTGGTTGAAATTGGTGGTCCCTATAGAGCAAGAAAGGAAATGATCCGCTAACTGTGGGGTCTATTGAGGGTTGCCATGAGTTTGTCTATCGCTTAGGTACCTCTTGTGTCCATTGCAACCACCCGCATCAACCCATAGGATTGCATCATTTCCCTCTTGTCTTCTTTGTACATCGCTATGTCTATCAATTTTGATAATTAGCCCGCGGCCCTGAGACCCCATCTCAACTCTTCAACGCGCAGTTCCCAATCGGCGTAGGAGCTTGAGCATAAAATTGACCCCAACCCAATCTCCACATCGCTGAACTTGAACAATTCATTTGCTCGGGGATAACACATCTTTTAAAAGACAGAATTTAAATACGTCTCGTCTGTTCAATGCCTTTCAATAGACTGTGAAGGTTCGTAATCCAATGAGTAACAGGATCATTGCCAGCTCCGGAGAAAAACTACTGACCAAAGGTAAAGGTATGAGCACATTAACTTACTTTGACTTTGAGTTCATGAATCTTGCAGTCATTCTTAGGTAAATTGGACACAATTAACGCTGAAACAAGAAGGAAATTGCTTATTATCCTAAAATCCATCTTATTTGTTTGTTTATTGACACGAAACAGCACTTCTAACCTCAAAAAGTCAAAATTGGGAAAGCAGGGTTACCGTAATGTTCAAATCAAAAATTTCCGAGGAGGTCAGTTTGAAATCTCAAAGCAACGTTAAATTCTCTGATTAGTGTCTTATCTAAAGTGTTTAAAAATCTCTCAATTTCTCTTCATGATTGAAATAAAAAACACGGATTGTTAGTGATTTTCACCTGCCAATAATTTCATGATTGCATTTTTGGTTTGCGCTTTGTTGTCAGTCCAGGGCAAACCTGCTAGAAATTTGATTTTTGGCGGTTCTGCAATTTAAGCGCTGGCATAAAAACTTTGCTCTACACAATGTTAAAGTTCAGAAATTGCTTCAGGAAATGTTCCGTTATTGGAATGATCCACGTTCTACCATTACCAGGTGAGCCCAAGAGCGTGATTACTTTGTCATCATAAGTCGACTAATGTAACGCTTAAGCACTGACTACTATTTTCCAATTTCTTGTAATAGTGCATTATTGAATCTATAAGATATCACTCGACAAGATTAGCCTAGATGCATCTAGGATAATCTTGTCAAGTCATATTATTTTTCCTACTTATGAGATGAAGAAACAGAGATGTTTACATACCTATTTTTCTGCCTGAGCATGCAGAACTCACTTGATTTCATGCATGCAAAACCGACGTAGGTAACAAAAAGCAATCGATGGCTAAAGCCGAAAAATGCGTAAGTATCCCAAATGGCAAGTCGATTTATTATTGTCAAGGTTTATTATTGCAGAGGATAACTATCCAACAGTCTCTTCTGAAATGTTAGGTACCTACGTTAATTTTTTTCACTCATTCTAAAGAAGTCACATGAAATTGCAAGGAAACATTTTCAGCAGGTTTCCTTAATTAATACAACATAATTGGAGATTTTTTAATACTGCAATTGGGAGACATACTTTTCCCATTCAGCCAACGCGATGCAGATATAAGACAGGCTGATCTGTCGAGGAATATCTGCTTGACCATTTCGCATCAAAATTTAAGCAATATAAGTAATGAGACTCTTATCCACATTTCGTAAAATTTGTGGGTTTTTTTTGTTGGCTATTTGTTTTGCTTATGGCAAATACCTACTGCAAAAATGCACAGAAATTTTGAAATATTGCAAATAAGTTACTTGGTTTAGCCATCAATCCGTAGTTGTCTTCAGTGCAGATAGTATGAAAGGCTGGGAGTATGTCCTTCACAAATTTCGAAAGTAAATTGTTATTAAGATGAAAACATGTAAATTAATAATACTTACAAATTGTACATTAAACAAACTAATTTTTTCCTCTTTTTTCCAGGCACTCCCAATTTCTCAGGTTCCATCACCGACATTATTGAGGTTGCAAAGAAGGAGGCATTAATCTATAAAAATGAACAAGTGGTAAGTAAGGTCTAAAAATGAAGCCCATTTTGTTAAGAGAAAACGTTACATTTAGAACGCGGCTCCAATTATGATATTCTGGCCGCTTGTTGACAGTGGAACCAAAAAAAAAAACAGGTACTTACAGAAATTTGGTACACAACAAACTACTCATCACACTCTATTTTGAGGCAGGAAAACTAAACTTGAAAATTGTAAATGTAAAATTGCCGTGAATCTTAGTACAGTGTTGTGATGTATTCTACAAACTCTTATCATCTCCTCCTTTTGCAGGATGGTGTTCTTATCGAAAACATGCACGACATTCCGTACCTGAAGGCAAAGAGTTTGACACCTGAAACGACAGCGTTCATGACTAGAGTCGCAACAGAAGTTAGAAATATTTTGCCAAAATCGGTCAAGTGCGGCGTCCAGGTGAGAATTTCCAGCGTCACCGTTAAAATTCTTTCAGAAGGTGTGATAATTAAGATGGATTTACAGTAAAGGCAAAAAAGTTTTGATAATGGATCCAATAATTGATAAATTCAAGACCTCTGAACTTCATTTTCTTCTAATAATGCCACCAATCTTTTTAAATAACATCTTTCGAAAAGCTTACTGAGAATTTGGGAGTAAAGAGTAAGGATGGTAGGATGATGCATTATCATGAACTTTTCCAGGTTCAGGTAATACAATAATCTCTACAATTTTCCATGCTTTTGGGAAGTATCCTTGTTCTAAAATTGTATTCAAAATTTCAGCTATTTTAGCAATAGCTCTAGAATAGGGAGTGGTCTAAGTTGTGCAAATTATCTGTGGATCTACTGATGTTTGTTTTGTGTATTTTTCAGAGATTCTGAACTGCAGAAATGGTGTAAATTTACAATTTTCTTTGGGCCATTTTGAGACCTGATATGATGGCTTGAAATAAAACAATAAAACAAATCTTTTTCTCAAAACAGCATTTTTTGAAACTAAAAATCCACAGACTTTAAACTGTCATATAACTTCTAAAATATTTTATGTCCAAAGATGGTTGTAAAATACACCTCTTAGCAATGGTACCAAAAATTCATCTGTAAACAGTCACATAGTGATGGCCAAAATGCATAATCATGTACCTCCATTGTAGTGTTTCAAATTTCGTTCCGCTCCTATTTTATTTTTTCAAAGAGAAACGAGGCAACTTCATACAGCTTGAAATTTGTACAGAATATTCTGCTGACAGAGAAGAAAAATCAGGGAAGTTTTTTAGAAATTATGATTACTAGTTTTCCAAAGAAAAAGTAAAGTATGACAAGAAATCTGCAACGTTGCAAACGGAGATACAAGTATTCGCACTTTGACCATTGATATTAAACAATTTATTGTTAGGTTTAGCATCAGTGCTATATTGGAGGCTACTATACCTAGGGGGTAACTTTTTTTTATCGTAGGTTTTAGCTGGTGGTAATTTGCAAGCTTTAGCCGTTGCTCAAGCAGCTGAGTTGGACTTCCTCCGGGCGGAAGGTTTTGTTTTCGGTCACGTTGCAGATGAGGGTTATATTGATGCCTGCGCCGGCGAGCTGTTGCGATATCGCAAGAGACTAGACGCAGAAAATATTCTCATCTTCACAGACATAAAGAAAAAACACAGGTAGCCTTTTCAAGTACACAATTTCTGAAAGTTTTTTTAGACTTTTAGGATCATGGGGCCAATTCTGCTCCGTCGGTCAAGACACAATTTACTGCTTGACAATCATTAATAATTCTGAGGAAGTGTTTCGAACTTGCCAACTTTCTCTGGACCATTGGGTGAACTATCAAAAAACAATAATACTCAATTCTCTTCAATGGTTTTCCACTCCAATCTGGCACTAGACCAGAATTGTTGTACAATAATCTAGAAATCAATTCGCATTGTTTATTAACTGATTTTTCTTTTTAATTTACAGTTTGCATTTACTGTTACATACATTCCCTACGAAAAAAGCCCTGGAATATCTTTGAAATTTCGTACGTTTTTTATCATTTTTATTTTTAAAAACGAGTCCAAATTTAATTTACTATTTAAGTTGAACATAGATTATTAAAATTTTGAATTTCTATTTTTAGCTCCCATGCAATAACAGGAGACATATCATTGGTAGAGACAGCACACGCTGCTGAATTTTTTCAAAGTGATGGAATCATACTGACGGGAGGTAGCACTGGATCTCCAGCGGATAAAAATCAATTAAAGGGTAATTTCTAAATCAATTAAAGGGTAATTTTTAAATCATACAGAGGAGCCGTTTACTTGAAAAAAAGGCTTACTGAAAACATACGTTCAAAAATTAAATTTAAAAATAATCCGCAATTAGCCTTTTTTTATGGAAACAACACAATTCTCTGTTTGATGTTTCAAAAATGTGCCAAGGATACTCGGCTTAACTAGAAGTCTAAAGTCTGTAAATTTTAAAATTTTGATGACAGGCACAAAACTGCAAATAGATTCCATACCAAATAAGTTTCCGCACTTTTAGACTGCAACAGATGATCGTCTGATGTCAGTTTAGCTTGGAAAGTAAACCCAAAAATCACGATGGTGGACTTCTTGTCACAGTTGAAAAGTGCACGAACTTATTTGGTGTGGACTGAACAAACAAACTTTTGCTAGAAAACTACGGGCTAATAGTTGAAATTGATAAACAAAGCCATAGACAAAGAAGACAAAAAAGATGTAGAGGGATCCTGTTAGTGAAGCGGGTGGTTGTACCTAATAGACAAAAATGGTAGGTATTAGACTAACTAATGACAACCCACGGGAGACCCGATAGTTAGCTCATCTTTTTTCCCTTTGTCTAAAAGAACCATCCATTTCAACCAATGAGCGTGCTTTATACTCCCCATGTCTTTTTTGTCTATCAATTTCAATGATCAGCCCTCAGTATTGTTACAGCCACTCAAAAAAATTATATTTTATGAAACATGGTTTGTAAATTTCCTGATTTTGAAATATTTATATTTTCCCCTGATAGATTTTCTTCTATTTGGTTTTTATCTAGATTTGAAATTAAACGCAGAAGTTCCGGTGATAATTGGATCCGGGGTGGATATTGACAATATTGAAGATTACATAGAGGCAGATGCTTTCATTATTGGATCTCACTTCAAAGAGGAAAACAAGTAAGAGTGATACGCACCTCTTTGCGAATTAAATAAGTGAACAAATGGGCAGATTTAATGGGAGTAAGCCCAACTCCGTGAGATGTTGCCTGATTTTCTATCATGTTTTATTTATTGAACAGAAAACTAGGCAACGTTGGAGCATGAAACTTTGTGAGTGTATTCTTCATAAGTGAAGGTAAATTCACAGAGAGCTGAAAGATGTTAACTAAGCTAGTTTAGCTCTCTTTTATAAAAATAAAACATGAAAGAAAAATAGGGAACGTCAAATGCAGTTAGGCTCATTTTGCTTAAAGCCGTCCAAGTGATACACTAAAAGAAGCTAAGTGAGACAAAAAGATAATAAATTAATGGGGGAAAAATTGTCCGTTTCTCCAAAGTACATTTGTTGTCATATATGTTATATATTTAAAAGTCTCTTTCAGGTTAGGTCTAGAGGATCCCTAATTTTTTGAAGAGGGGTCTTATTAAAAGCTTTGAGACACATATAAACAACAAAAAAATCGCAAGTTTCAATTTTCTGAAAGATAAAATGTTTGATTGTTACAATTTTCGTCCATAATTAGCTAAGAACTGGAAATTTAGAGTGTTAAGACTGAAAAAGCAGTAAATTTTACACCACTAAAGCACAATGAGATTGATGTTTATTTATTGTATTTAATTAATGATATACCAACTGTTTCCAGATGGCAGAATAAGTTACAGCCTAAGAAAATTGCCGAATTCATGGCAAAAATTAATAAACTGAGGTAGCACATTACAATCCAGTCATTTCTTCCGGATAAGCAAGTGCAAAAATATTGAAAAGGAGTTGAAAAACATTCAAAATGAGTCAAGAGAAAAGTAGAAAAAATGTATTCTTTATAATTTTCATGATAAAACAGAATGTGTAAAATTTTTGTTACGATATGAAATAAAATTTGGAAAGATAGTCTTTCCATAACAGATAATCGTTTTGTCAATGGTGTGTAAGTTTCCTCATTTTCCCAAGGAAATTTTTTGGGCGTACAAAATTTAAACTTAAGGGAACAGGGATCAATGTTTTATACTTCTTTTGTTTTCTATTGGAACAATTATACGCGTGTTAACCGATTAAAAAAAATTGACTCAAAATGATCATAAAATAAAACATGAGAAAAAAGTAAAAAAATAAACTCAAAATCATCATGAATATTTGAGTTAACACCATCGATTGTAAAAAAAAAAAAAAAAAAAAAAAAAAAAAAAAAAAAAAAATACAGAGAAAAAACTAAGAATTTAAGACTTTCTGTACATGTAACAAAGAATTGAATCAATAATTTTAAAGGATTTAAGTCAAAACAATCGTGGAAAAATTGAGTGCAGGGGATCATAAAAAACTGATAAAGAGAGGAAATGGCCTGCTTGGGACTTTATGAAGTCTCAAATAAAATCAAACAATGATCGTAAAAAAATGGAGGAAAATCGATGCTATAAAAATTGACGAAGAGAAAAAACTACACATTAGAAATATTAAAACTTCTCTGATACAGCTAAAAATTCTGCGTTTGATTAAATTTATCCAAACCTTGAGTTGAAATAAAATAAAATTCAATGTCGCATCTTCATCTGATGTAAAAATGAGAAAGATAGGCAAAAAAAATATCACAAGAATAAACTTATGAACTAAATAAAAAAAGTGATTTTAACTTGGACTGTTAAAATTCTTTTACCATTAATTGAGAACAGAGATCTTCAAGATGATTCATAACTGTTACAACAAATGAAAGGAAGACAAAATCGATTGGGCCACTGAGATCCATCATTAATATTGAACATTTGAAATGATGACAACAGGAATAAAAATATTTCTGCGCTGAACCCAAACAGTAGAACTGTCAGCTGATATCATAGGTCTGTATATGAATCAGATTTGAGCAATTTTAAATATAAAAATTCAATGAGGAAGAAAATTTAAAAAATTGACTCAGTACATCGCATTTTCAAAAGTGATATGACTGCTTTACGAAAGAAAAAAATCCGAAGTCCAAAGTGAATTGAGCTTAAAAATTTCCAGACGAGCAATTTTCTCACACATTTCCTGAAACATCCCATTCATCTGAGCCACTTAAATGCCAATTTTTAATTTCATTTTCCAGAGAGAATTGCTTTGCAGCAAATTTCCTTACCTACAATAAGAATATCTACTATCTCCAGATTTTCTAAACCTGTATATACCTAAAATTTGCTTGCGTCTCCTTCAGAGTTGAAAGATCCAGTCTACAAAAATGGCAAGCCATGGTCAAAAATTGAGCATTGAGTCATTAAAGAAAAAAAAAAAAAACATGTATATCTTGAACAGTAATTAAGCGTCTCGTTGGAAAAGAACGTAATTTTTCACTGTGTTCCCGAAGTCTGCGACGAGCTTTTTTGCACTGGCGTAGTATCGTTGACTCCAAGAGAAAATATTTTCATTTTGATTTGCTGCTGCATCAGTGTCATTAGCTTTTTGTCCATTGGTTTTAGCGACGTTCTTTTCATTCTGAGGAAAAAAAACCGATACAGTCAAACAACAAGAATTCACTATGAACTTGCAAATAGAGTTAACCATTTTATTTGGTGAGAAGACTAATACCGTCTGGATAATGAAGCAGAAAAACACTTCTGTTACAATCAACGAGAAAAAAGATTTTAGCCCAAAAAAATTTAAAATTGAGTTGGAAAAACTACCAAAAAAATTCGTCTGAAAATACAGTTAGGATTATTCAATGTTTCGAGTTAAAAAAATGTTGTTTTGAGAAGAAACAATTGGTCAAAACCTCTAATTTTCATGTTCAGGGTTCCAAATTGCCAGATTAAACGATGAAAACGCAACTTGCAGCCCTTTGTTGGTGCAGAAATGACTTAAACTGCTGGTACCTTATTCTGTGGAATATGGAGCATATTTTTTGTCTGATTCTAAGACCAAACTCGACTGAAATCTCTCCCCTAAAATTTTCTAATGTGCCTTTCCTTGTGGATGATCATATAATTGCTGCATTTGACTGCATTTTGCAATTAAGAACAACTCCATAAAAGCACGTATCTACAACAGAAAACTAATTGCACAAATGCCGTTTCTAAAATAAGTAAAAAATTGTAAGACTTAGTCCAGTTCTTTGCGGCGTTTAAGATGAGTATCTGCCTGGAGTGGAGAAAGTGCCCGATCACGAGCCCTGGCGGGCGCTTGAAAATGTGGAGAAGCCCCCCAAAATTTGGAAGAGGGGAAAATTTTGAAGGGTTCAAGGTCAAAAATGAACGGAAAACGGAAAAAAAGTAATCTTTCTTCAGATTGTTGGGAAATATTCGGGAAAATTGATGAGAAAAATGAGGAAAACCGGCGGGCGGGCGCATGAAAATGGGGAAGCTTGAAAGATTTTGCACCTCTGGTTCTGCTTCAGGTGAAATTTTTAGTTCTTTCCTAAACAGACGGATTTGAATAAAATGAACCTAACGCCACCAAACATTGCCTAATGTTCTCTGATATTTTGATTTTCAAGCGAAAAACTAAGCAACGCTGAAACTTAAAATCTTGTGCTTACATGCTTCATGACCTACAGTAAGTTCTCAGTTTTGAATGCTCTCAGTAGTTCAGTTCTCCAATAAAAAAATAAAACATGAGATAACTAAGAATTGTCAAACCCATCTAGCAGTTAAATCTGTTCGATTCGCAAGAGCTCTTAAGGCTAATTAATTTGTTTCTGCATTGTAGAAACCTCATATGCTAATAAAGAGCTACTAAAGATAGGGAAATTATAATCTTGGAATAGTTAAAATAATGGCTTTGAATTAACGAATATTTACCAAATAATTGCTGCTGCGGGCAGAGATGCAGTTACCATCCAACTTCATGAGTTTCAGCGGGTTCGGGACACTTGGGCAAGCGTTCTGCGGAACGTGATTGTTTTCCTCCTGGAAATCAAACTTCTGATTAATTACTAGGTCAAAATTTACGCTAGTTCGATTATTTTGCATAACTCTGATGCTTTCAACAATAGTTTTTTATTTATCTTGAAAGTTTGTTCATCTTGTTCATTTTGCGATCATTTTTTTGAGAAAAAACACTAAATTCACTTGGAATGAATAAGAGTTGCAGATGTTTCAATCAAAAATGTTGACATCCACCACCCTCCAGTTTGTTAAAACATAAAATAATTCAAAATCAACACATGCATTTTTAATAATTTATAGTTTATTGAAATATTTTCTATTTCGTTTGAAACTGGACTTGTATTCCTGCAGACAATTTAAGATCAAATTTAATCAAGTAAAATCATGTATCTTAATTGCCACGTCTCAAAATTTTCGATGTAATTACTTTTCCGACAGCAAACAAATCAACGATGCAACTTAAAATTCTTACAGAGAGTAACTTCAGAATAATAAAGAAAAAATTGGGCACAATTTCAGGCCTTGAAAAAGATATTTTTCTGTGGAGAAAATAGAGTGCTTCAGAAAATTTTGATGTGAAACTTTCTGGAAAACATGTCCTGCGAAGGATTTTGACCCTGTCTAGCATTCTGTTCCGAGCAAAACGTATCAACAGACAAGGTGGCCAGCGAAATTTCATTTTATCCTTCCCTGACTTCTAATGAATTTCCTAATCTACTGTCATCGGAAACACCGGAGAGCGCTACCCAGTTAGCACAACAACGAGATCAACTGGCCTGTCTTGGATCCAATTTTTATGTGGAACTCAGCTCCACAAAAAATTTCCAGACCGTTGACGAAATTCCCTGACTAATCCCTTATTTTTTCCCGGTCGAGTTGCATTCCCTGATTTTTCCTAATTTCATGGGTCCCTAGCCACCCTGAACAGAAATAAAAATATTATAAAAATGATGAAATTTATGAATTAGACTTATAAAGAGCGACTAAACAGGGTATGAAATTAGGCATTAAAGCACATTTTCCTATGCGAAAATTTCGAGCAAAACACATCAGCCCATTGCCATGCCATTCATTTTCCTTTTCCTGGCATTGTCACGCCATTTAAATCTCTCAGGAATACTTACAGGAATGGGCCCCAACATTTTCCTCTTCCGACAGAGACGGTCGGTTTTGCTGTCGTTCTGGGTCAGAAACTTGTTCAGATCTTTTCGCCTGAGTGGAAATCGCGAGCTGCTTTTCTTGCGAAGCGTCAGAAGATTTTCTTTATACTGAAAAAAGAACAAAAAGTAAAAATAACGATGAAAATAAAGAGGTCCAATGAATTAGCATCTGTTAACGGATTGTTTTGACCCTCGATTTGAAAAAAAAGTTATTTGGAACAATGGAAAGAGTGTTTTAGGCAATTTTTTAAGTCCATGTTAACTACAGGCATATCTCATCATAACGTTTTCGAGAGGGAAATAAAAGGAGGAAAGCGTTTCCAGTAGACATTATATGAAGCAATGCTGTAAAGAGAAACAATGAGCCAGGACTTGACTAAATGAACTCTATTTCCGGGAATTTATTTTATCCAGAGACAACAACTGTAATGTTGATACTTTTTTACAACATTTCCTTTTTTGACTTTTCCCTGACTTTTGAGAGTAATAAATTTTGTAGCGAACAAATCATTGAAATTGATGGACAAAGCTATAGACAAAGAGAACAAAATAAATATGGAGGGATCCTATTAGTGGAAGCAGGTGGTTGCAATAGACAAAGGAGGTAGGTAATAGACTAACCAACAGCAACCCACGAGAGACCCTATAGTTGGTCTAATATTTTCTCTGTTATTCTTTAGGAGCCCCCCATTTCAACCAATAGGATCACTCTATACTACCTGTGTCTTCTGTGTCTATCACTTAGTCAATTTCAATGATTAGCCTACTGGGCATTTTGAGGAAATATTTTTCTCAGACTTCTCTCTGTTTCCAACGTGTCGGGAAAATTTTGGCTTCTTATTACAGAATACATTTTTCTGTACGCAGGGTGTCTAGCAATTTTCGAATTAAATAATTCCCTGACATTTCCCAGACTAAAAGGAAAAAATTCCTAATTTTTTGAAATGTTCGAACTGATTAGATGTAAGTAAGAATTTTTTTCATGTTTTAGAAATATAATGTTATACCTAAATAGAGCAAAATATATGACGCTTTAACTAATGCGTGATATTTTTGCCTCATTTTTAAAATTTAAGACATTGGCAGAAATTCTAGTAGAAATTTTGGTAGAGATTTCCGCAAGAGTAAAATTCGCAAAAGATTTTCCGGAAATTCCGTGGTTTTTGATTTCCTGACACCCAAAAAAATTCCCTGACACAACCCAGTTCTCCAGGTTGCTAGACACCCTGATAACTCTCTTGCTTTATCTGAAAATTTCATAAGAAATATTTCCGGACTTTTTTCTTTGATATTTCAACGGACAGTTTTGGGGAGAAATTTCGGATATTTTCCCTGCCAAATTGAAAAAAATCCCCAGATACTTTGGGAGACACATTTCTCTAACTTTTTTTGACACTCCGCTGTTTCCCCTGAATTTTCCACGACTCTTCCAGGGAAAAACGTTTCCTCATGTTTCCCTATTTTTCCAAATAACTTAAAGGAAGTTAATTTCCCTGACATCTTCCTTTTTTTCCTGAAACTTGTGGGAAATTTTGTTGCTAATTTCCCCTGGTTTTTTCAAAGAATATTGATTTTTTTTTTTTTTTTTTTTGAGTTTGAGAATGTAAGTTTATTGCAGTAAAATACATTTATCAATTAGACGAGACATATTGCCTTCCTTACACTCTAAGAGGGTGCCATAATTGATTATATATCCCTCTGAATTCTACTGATGGTTGGTGTAAAAATTAACCTAAAGACTAAAAAAGTCAACTTGCTTTCGCAAAAAAACGAAAAGAAAAACCCCATAATTAAACGGGGAAAACAAAACACTGCGTCCGCTGAGTTTTCACTCTCAAAGAAGAATATTGATACAATCAGATTCAATTCACATTATTGGAAGACATTTCCCTTGCTTGATTTATCTTAGTTTGGTTCCTGATATACTGGGGGAAAACATTTCTTTCCTTTTCAAATTTTTCCCCAAAAAATTCTCCTGAGCTTTCACTTTTTTTCCTGAATTTTTCTGTTTTTTCTTCTGAAGTTCTCAATTTTCTCCAAAATTTGTTTTCCTCAACAATCTCTGTTAAAGGTCTCACCTCATTCCGTGTTTGATTGATAGCATCAACCCATTCGTTGAGCTCTTCCGTCCCGTTCTGCGAGAAGAGAAGAATCGAAAAGTTCTGACAAGATAATTTGAAAAGCCCCCGACTTAGGATCGGCTCGACAAAGCACTTCTTCAGCGGGAGGAGACAGCGGCAGCTGAGGGAATTTGGCTCCGCAGTTTTCGATTTTGACCATGCTTTGCAATAGATTAGCGAATCACTCAGAAGAATGAAGTACCTGGGATTGGCTTTTTTGCTATTTTTTGAAACCTGAACAGCGAAATAAACAATTAATTCACGAAAATCTAACATGCATCAATGAAAACATCAAGTAAGTACACTAAAGATGTAATTAAAAATTACAATTACGAAAAATTTCCAAATTTTGACAAATGTTTGAAAATTAAATGATTTGCATAAATAGCACCTTTAATATGCCTAAAAAGATGTATAGAGACACTAATATTAAAGTTTACCTGTGCATTATCTATTAACTTGGAGGTTAACTTTTAAATTTTACATTAGCTGTTGACTTGTGCTTTGGATGGGAAATTGAAATCCACGTTTTGGACAAAAAACGATTCAACATTCAAACCTTCCCTCATTGGTATTTTCTCCTTTATTTTCATTTTCTTTTGTTTCTTCTTTCTTATTTTTTCCTCCTGTTTCTTCATTCCCTAAACAGCTTATCCCTTTTATTTTTCCCTTCATTCTTTTCCTACTTCCTTCTCCTTCATAGCCTCATTTCCTGGATATCTCTCCAACATACCTTCATTAAACTACCTTCCTTGACAAGTCGAACTCCTGGTTTGACGATGTTCAATTTTTGATCGACAAAACTCCTCTGAATTGCGATTAATCTTTGGGCAACTTCGTGGTCCTTGATGCGGGAGTTCATGTGCTCAGTGATTTTCTCGATTTCATGAAGAGCAGCTGAAATGGAAGTAAGAAAGGATTTTCACATTGCTCTTCCAAAAATTAGTAGCAAAAAGGAATTTCTTTCCTCCCAGCATAAACCGTTAAAGCATTTTAAAAGAACGTGCAAAAATTGATCAAATGTGCAAGTTATGAAACGCTTTTTCGTTCATTTTTCAATACAATCTATGTGAAATTTACGTTAAAAAAAGTATCAGACGAAAATTGGCATTAAAGTTTTGTTACATTCTAATAATCACTCACATTGACAGTCAGCACAAATAAACGACTTAATATTCAACACTAACAATTAAAATTTTGGTCAAAATTCTAAAATAAAGTGATAGAAAATTTGTAAATAATCAATGTGACGATTTTGCATGAAAAATATGTAAAAGAGTTTCCTAACTCAGATATTTTGACAGTTTTTTTTTAAAGAGTTCCCTCTTTGAAATCTACAAGATTTTATTTTTTTTTATTTTTTACCCTTTTTTTACAGCCAATGCGCCCAGTTTCTTTTTTTCAGCTTGAAACTGTACAGCGTAACTCTAACTTAATGTAAGAGGAAAAAAATTTAAATACTAATACTACGATCCATAATATCAGCGCCTGAGGTTGAATTCAACGGGTGTTTTTAAGTACATTTTGCATTAGCTTTCATTACTTTTTACACCCTTGCTAGACACTACTAGACCAAATTAAGAAAATTCACAGCAAATTTTGACAGAAACTTTGGTTAGTTTTCCTTCAAAAAATGAAAACATGAGCAAAAGCTTACAACATCACAATCTAAGATACTGTGCTTATATAAGATATTGTGCTATGTGAAATTCGGTTTATGACATCATCCGGCACCGTAATGATGCCCTTGGTTTCTTCCATCTTATTTTCATCTGAGTTCCATGTTAATTAGCCAATGCAAATGTGTGTCTCTGTGACTAATGAAGGCAAATGTGTCACCACCGCGGTAGATGATGTCATAAACCGAATTTTTCCAATTGCGATACCTCGGTTAATATTGAACGTAGAAAGTAACTGTTTAGACATATGCTATTACTTTTAGTTGATCTACTAGAATAAAGCATCAAAACTCAATTCTACGACCAGTGGAACTGACCCATTTTTCTTTAGAAACATCAGACCAGGATACAACCCCTTTTTGCTGACAAAATATTCAACCTACCTTTGAGAGAAAGGTAGTGCTCATCAGACTCCGGAGTGTTACTGACTATTTCGTAGAGAAGCAGCTTGTATCTTGGTAACCTCTGTACCGGAGTGATAAGCAGCGATGACAACTTTGTTCCAACTTCGGGACGTCGCTCTTGGACACCTATAAAATCTTTCAATTTTGGACTCTCTTTCATACTTTCCTCTATCAAATCTGAAGTGCGTTTGTAATTGTACGCATATACAAAGTAGATCTTGAAGTAGGGCGCAAGTTCCAAAAAAACAGACCCGATGTCTTTCTCCTTGAGCAAAAGTTGTTGTAACAGCTCACTGTTTACGTTGAAAATAGCGTCAATGTCCCCAAAAAGCGATCGGATACCAGGAACGGAGACAAGTTTTGACTCCAGGAGCGGGGGCTTAAAGAACTGCGGACAAAAATATGAAAAATATTAGAATCAAGGTGGATCACTACTTAATTGTTGATATAGTGCTGCTGAGCAGCACCTGAGCACTTAGCATAGGAGTTTTAAATCAATTACTTCTGGACATTAATTTTTTGACTTGAATCCATGGTGTCTAGAATTTTTGATAATGCTCACTCCCTGATTCGTACCTTATTTTCAGGAGCTCATTCCCTATAAAAAGCAGAAACTTTCTCCAACTTTCTCGAGATTATCTACGGGAAACCATATAGATCTGCGGAGTTATATGAATATCAAATTTTTTTCTTGATTCAGCCGATTCCTTGGCGAACATTCAAATTTTCAATTCCAAGAGGGTTTCTGATGATTACACTATCTGGTCACTGAAAGCGTCTATATTTTTATGTTGAATTAAAGTTTCACTTGCGTCACTCAAGAAGTTAACAATGGCAGCTCAGGTGTATTACCAGAAATCTGAATAAAAACAGGTACCTAAAAAATCCACAAACTTTGAAAACAAAATGATATCTCAGCAGAAGAAGAAGGGATTTCAGGTTTTTGGAACAGATTCCCTGATTTTTCCAGATTTTCCTCGAAATTTTTCATTCGCTTATGACTTCTGGTTTTTTCCGTACCTGGGCACCATATGTAATTCATCAGAAAAGACAGATGTATACTACAAAATCAAGTAAAATTAAAATCAATTGAACACATTCAACTGATATAAGCCTAACTACATGACATACTGTCTAATTTTCTCTGCAGTTTTATTTTTTCAACAGAAAACTAAGCAAGTCTGAAAATTGACATTTTTTCAGTACATACATTCTTCATAATCGAGAGTAAGTTCACAAGAAGCTCAAAAGCTTCAAATAGTTTAGTTCTTTGTTCAAAAAATAAGATGAGAGAAAAACTTGGGCAAATCTAATGCAGCTAGGCTCCTTATGCTTGAATTCGTCCAATTCCCCAGCAAACGATTGAAATCAAAACAATTTTGTCAACGCTCGAAAACTTTTACGGTGACATAATTTGGATGATTTCCTGTTCTTTGCATTCCAAAAACTTAACACTGATCTCTGAGGAAATCAATCTTTCACCTTCTGTTCTAAAATCATTTGACCTTTTCATAACAAATAAATCATCTCCCATGAATTACCTACCTCTTTCTCAGAACTTGCTGTTTGGCAACCTTCCTGTAACTTAAACATTAAATAGAGATATTCTTTACCTTGCGAACGAGTTCCAATTGTTTCAAATAACTACTCTCTGAGCTGATCAATTCTTGAATAGCATTCTGTTTCCTTTTGGCAGCTTTCTGCTCTGCATCCGTCAGTATGTGCTCGTCGAGTGCTTTCAAAACTGCGTTGGACCCAGAAACAAAATTCAGTATCATATGCATTACAGCATAAACAGCACATTAACAGAGAAACTCCCGAACCTTGCTTTGCAACATTTCAGACTTGCTGTCATACTTCAATTTTTAAACAAAAAGTTACTTGACGTCAACTTTTAAAGACTTCTGCAGTTTATTTTTCTACTTACAACGAAAATTCTGGCAAAACTTCCAGGAGAAATGTTGATTTGTCTTGAAAAAAATAAAATGAGACTTCAGGACAAGACTTCAAAACATTGCAAATGAGTTACATCATTTGGGAGTTTTACTGTCTTTAAGGCAATTCTATTTTGGATGGTCTTCATGAGGGCAATAATAGAAAGTATGGCCAGGCATCAACAAAACAAAAATAGCGATTTTCCACACTTTTTCAGTACTTCTGGACCGCCCTGAAAAAATCAGTACTATATCCAGACTTTCCCAAAATTCTGGACTTGTAGACACCCTGAGCATGAATAATTGCTTGAATTACCTTTCTTCCTAGTTTTAGTTGAGAGTATGTTCTTCTTGTCGATGACCGAGCGCAATTCCTTGCTCAACGGAGTTTGAGGATTCACATTGTAAATTAAAGATCCGTCCATTTTACACACACTGTCTGGTATGGTCTGCAACAGAGGAGACAGAATTTTCATCAGAATTAAAATGGGGCAGTAAAATGTAGATGGTGAAGACAGTGATGGAACTTGGACGAAATTACTATGACTATTGAAGATTATGAATATTATTACTATCAACGAAAATTGGTCCCGATTTCATCAAACCAAAAATTGCAATGTGTAGCAATTTAATCGCCATATAAGTGTTGCAATTTTTAATGCGATAATATCTCGATATATTGCCACTGATATAATCGCAATAACCGACTGATAAAATCGCTATTTATCGCAATCACTGCTACTTGGGGTGCGGCTTTAAAAAGCACCAAAAACAGATAATTCGTACTTCGGCACAAACATTTTGCTCTTGTGAATACCTCTTCATGCTAGTTCGATTTTGATCTAAGAAGTGGGCATTCATGATAGATCTCATTGAAAGGAGCCTTACATATACAAGAGGCTACTATTTCTCAAATTTGAGTCAAATCGGGTTGTGGCGTTCGCCCACCATTCTCCAAGTGAATCTGATTGAATATTCAGTATTCCATTCAAACAAGATTACATCCAATCTGAATCTTGCTGAAAAAATATGTCGCAAAGGAGCAATACAGTGACAGTTCCCAAGATGCATAACTTGATTCGAATTGAGAAATACATGTTCAATCTACATTGAAATACTCATAAAAATATCGACGGTGAAACTACCAGACCACGTATCTCGTTTGGGGTGTTTAAAAATCTCCTCTCACATTTTATTTTCTTGAAGGAGATCAAATCAATATCATTCCTTACCATTTTCACAGATTTTTCTCCGCACAAAGAGGAAAAATCACGGAAGTTTTCACGATTTGACGTTGAGTAGTTTTCTATTTAAAAAATAAAGTAAGACAGAAAGTCTGCGACGTCGCAAACCGAGATACGTGGTTTGGTAGTTTCACCGGCAATATGGCTATGAATGCAACTGATGTGTGCCATTCTACCTCATGTCTGTTGGAAACCATTCAACTTGATAAGTAGATAGTTTTCAAAGTGTCACAGGGACGAAGCTTCAAAATTCCGACATTCAACATGCAGGATTTGTTAACACGTTCTTACTCTTGGCATAGAATGATATTCTATACTCACGGAGGAAGAGGCTGACAATGGGCATGGGCACTTTGAAAGCTATCGACACATTACGGACACCTCAAACTGAGGCTAGATTCAAAATGATACTACCTGAAGGCCTAGAGGAGCTGCGACGCATGTAATAAACAGAGATCCTACAAGCACATTAAATAACTTTAATTATTTCGTCAAAAATTACCAGGATCATCCAGAAAAATTAGGAATTGTCTATTACTATTTACTATCGGTTTATTTTGAGTTTTGTTTACTTATTGCTTACATTTGAGTGAGCCATGTTGAACAACAAGAAAATCAAAGTTTACACTAGGAAGGCAAGCTGGCCGGAAACGAAAACAAAAAAACTCCTAATTAGGTACATATTGTATCAGAGACGCTTTCAAGTAAAAAAATTTAAATAACCTGAAATAGATTTTTTCATTCAGAAAACACATGCATGTGATGAAGCAGCACAACGCTAGTAGTAACCAATTCGAAAATCAGGGAAGAAAAATAACACAGTTGGCATTCTTCAAAAATTTAACCGCCAAACGATGGAACAAAGCAATTCTCATGGCACTTCAAAATACAACATACAACATTGTCAAATTTCCTCTATACAACAGAACAGGGCCTCTTTGTTGGCAGAGGGGGTTCAGGGCCTCTTGGTTGCCAGGGCGAGCAGCTCCGGGTTAAGGCCTCTTGGTTGCCACGGGGGGCAGCCCCGGGCTTGGGCCCCTTACATGCCAATACGCATTACATTGTTGAAATTCGTACCCAGTTGCCTTGATCAATGGTTTTCCTTCAATTGGCTGGGTATGCAAAATGACTGTCGTGATGCACGAATAGTGGTATCAGAATTTCCCATTAAGTTTACATAGTGGGTTGAAGGCGCTTTTTTGTATTGCGCTTTACAACGATGGTGACCACAGAAATGTTAAGAATTTAGCAGTCTTCAATGAATCTTTAATATTGGACTAATTCTTATTAACAATATTGCACTTTCCAAGATTCTTGTGGTGTAAGTCTGATTTTAAAAAAGAGAGTTTAAGCGCTTCAGATACTTCTTTCATCACATGTAGTAAGTGTATAGACTTGCTATTCAGAATTCTTAATTTGACTATGTTTCACGAGTAAAATCTAACATTTAAAAATGTCAATGTAACATATGAGAGGGCAGAAATTTTGATTAATGATTTGAAAACTTGATTACATTGATAGATCGTAAAGAAATATGAGATTTTCCAAACTTTTGATACTGTGATTATGAATTTTTGCGTATGATCAACTTTTAAAATACCTATTCGACGGGAATGAACCTGATACCTGCCTATGACGAGTTGAATGCTCTTCCTATTGAGCCAACGGGGCTTCTGGTTAATGAGAGGGGCAAACTTGCTCTATATAAGTGATAGCATTAGGTTCGACTTTTTTTATTGTTAAATATGCTTGAGAACAAACGGCTTAACATTTTGGGAATCGGAAAAACGGGATGAGGGCAAAAAATAATATTTATCATGGATATTTTATAATAGTATAGGTACTTCCAATGGTAACCTTTACTGTACACAAATATTATGTAAGAAAAAGTATATGAATTTTAATGCTTTGTCGCCTGTTTTTTTTTTTCTTTCCATAAATTTTATAATAACATTCTGCAATTTTTCAAAAAAATATTCAGAATTTCAAAAACATTTTAATAAAGATAGGTTTTCAAAAGCTCCTCACATTTTTTAAAAAAAATGGTTTCATCGTTCAAAACAACATGTTTTTTTGTATCCAGTTTTCTTGGTTTAAGGAGGCGGCACTTTCAATTTTACAATTTTTTTTAGTGTCCGCGCTCAGAGTATCCCTCAGAGCCATATAATAAAAAAGATAATAATAAGTATAATTTAATACATATTCCGTAAATGCTATGCTCAAAGTTTAGAACTTGATATTTTAATAACAGCTTCATTCAACAAATCATCGTTTCATAAAAAGTATGTAACTCGCATTTTGATTTTTTGTAACGTTGGTTTCGCTGTTCTTCTGAAAAATGTGCTGCTTTTTTTTTCAAGTTTTAACATTTCCTGCGTAGGAACTAGCCGTGAAGACTAGGTTTTTTATTTGTATGTACAAAATCAACCTTTCAATTTGTACAGAAGATTTAAAAGTAAACATTTTTATGACTTTCAAAGAGAAATAAGCAACGCGCGGGATGCCAAATAGCGCAAGCATTATTTAGGCACTTTCACAAGGTATCTTATAACATGAATCGTAAGCAAGGAGCCATATTGGCCGAGGCGCCGATGTTATGTTGTCTGTCTCTAGACACTCCTAAAATGAGCAGCAGTCTTCCTATATCAATGGTGAAACTACCATACCATGTATCTCGGAAAACCTGATTTTTCAGGGGAGCAAAAAACTATATTCGTCCCTTATTTTTTATAATTAAAAGGTAATAATTCTTGTAGGTAGAATCGATAAAATGCTTTTTACCACGCCTTGAACATTTTTGAAAATATAGCCCCACCATTAAGGAAATACGGAGAAAAAGCCGAGGTATGTGTTTTGCGAATTAGCAAGTAACTTTATTAATTACCTCGAGATTGTAAATTTCGAATTAAGGTTGTGAGCCTGTTATATGAAGATTTTGCTCGATTTCAGGCTTAGCGAGGTGTCATATTGAACGGTCGTGGAAGTCTACAGCGTCGCAAACGGAGGTATAACGTTGTTCCGCAATTTAGCCATCGTTGTATTGATAATAAAAGAACCACGCGGTGGAGATCAGGAGGTGTCAACTACGGACAGAGTTGCTAAAAGAAATTTCATCGAATGAAATTTCTTTTTTCCTCATGAAATTTCTTTCGACCGACAAAATGTCTTAAATATTTTCTCTCAGATTCAAGAAAAAGTAAAATACCTACCTACTTACTGATCTCAAAATCTAGCACTGCAAAGTTCAAAAATACAGGTACTCTAATTGGACTGCATTTTGCAATTTGGAACTATAAATTCTGGCCCGGTTTGAAAACAACGTATGTGCCCTTAGATTCCCTATGCACATAAGTGTTTTTTCAGATGAGCCAGAATTTACAGCTCCAAATTGCAAAATGCAGTCCAATTATGTGTCAAATATTTCCTATTTAAAAAAAGAAATACGTTAGCGAAGGAAACTGTTAATACCTGAATAGGTGTATCGTGTGACTGTACATTTCCTTGAATACATATTTTTTTATTTATTTAAATGAGAATAATCCATGCCGAGTGTGCAGACATTTCAAAATCATGAGTTGATTAAAAGCGCTGACTCCGCGAGTTTAAATGTTAGAGCCGAGCACAGGAGCGGCGCAAGATCCATCCATATAGGTCAGTCATTGCGCAGATTTCCCCGCTCGGGGTAAGCCCCTTTCCATTGGCTCGTGACGTCAGCATTACTGCCGCGAAAACCAGAAAAGTCGGAAACAATGCTTTTCTTATGGGAGAGAGCAAATTTTTCTTAATGAATCATTTAAATTTCTTACTTTTAAATCCTTTGAAACTTTCTGTGTGTCGAAAAGAACGTTTAGACATTAGCATTCAGGGTTTCGGTTTTGCCGAATTTGTGTTCTTTCATTTTTACAGTTTACTCTGCATCAGCCATTTTTACACGCGAATCTATACCACTAGATGGCTTGTTACATCGCTGACTTCAAAAATCATTTAAAAATATAAAAACGCAAATTCAGCTGAATTGAAACCCTTGACGCTAATTTCTAAACGTTCCTTTCGACACTCAGAAAGCTTCAAAGAATTTAAAAGTAAGAAATTTAAATGATTCATTAAGAAAAATTTGTTCTCTCCCATAAGAAAAGCATAGGTTTGTAGGCGCCAATGCGCGACTGCAGGTCTCGTGCTGGCAATACGCCGCTCCGGCATTTAAACTCGCCGAGTCAGCGCTTTTAATCAACTCATGATTTTGAAATGGCCGCACACTCGGCATGGATTATTCTCATTTAAATCGATAAAAAGATATGTATCAAAGGAAAATATACTGTGAGTGTTTTGTAAATATTAAGGTGTTTCCGTGTCTAATTTAACGATTTTCAAGGCAGTTTAATTTTTTATTTTGTATTTTGCGTCTTTACAGTGCTGCAGTGTGGTGTACGCGCAACCAAACGTTCAAAATTGGACGTATTTGACTCTAAAAAATCGAGGGGAAAATGGGTTAAAACCATAGATTGCGTGCTTCTCGTCCCCCCCCCCTTTTATTCATTTCTGTGTGGCTCCTTTCAACACATCTACGGCTCATTGAGATTAATATCGATTCCATCGCTTGGATAAGGTCCTACGGAGATTTAACACGTTAAGCTGTACAAGCTCATAGACTTAGCACGGTTCCCGTTTTTCCACCGGAAATTTTACAATTATAGTTCAAAATACAGGTCACGTGGGTTCTCAAATCCTCTTAATCCTTGAGACGATTATTTTTTATCTTGTCTATGCCTCTAGAGAGGCCCGTAGACATAGCAACGTTCCCGTTTTTCCACGGGAGAGGAGCTTACTGCATTCCTCTCGAATTATCCTGTAATTGTAGTGGCGAGGTGTGAACTATCGATTATCGATATTTCCCCATTTGAAGCTGTCGTAAAGAATCGATTATTACGAACACCTTGTCTATCGGTCCTTTTCCATAGGTTTAAATGGCAGATCAATCGATATATCTTAAAGCACGCCACGCCACTGCGTAATTGTATGAGTATTGTTCCTGTAACTTAAGAATGGAGACTTATTTTTTTCCTCGGTTCATGATTTCTTTGTGTTTTTTATTTTTTCAGGTTTAAAAAGCTCTGAAATCGTCGCAAGCTCGTAATTTTATAGTTTTTGTTTAAAAAGAAGAAAAAAACCAAGTGTGACACCATTTATCTCCTCAGATTCCATAGTCAATACATTCAACGAACCTGCCAAGACAATGATGACGTCGCGTCTAAGCGTTGCTCGTCGTTTTGTTTTGAAATTTTTTTGACGATGACTTCAAATCTATCATATCTGCCGCCGTTTTCAAAGGCTTCAAAGTCTTCACTGAGCGCCTGGGCGATGCTTGAACACTGGAAAAAAACACATTAGATCTAGAGTCCAGACTCTTAAAAACATCGACAAGACAAAGTAGGTACTCTTGATTCAATCAGAATCTATAGCTTAAATCAAGAACCAAGCCTTTTAATTTAAGCGGATTTCGTTTTGATTCAAGCAAATATCCGATTGAATCAAGAGTATTTTTTCTTGTCAATGTCTTCAAGAGTCTGGACTCTAGATCCAATGTGTTTTTTTTTTTTTTTTCCAGTGAAACCAGGGATTTTTCAGTGAAGTCCGCAAATATTTGAATGTGTTTCTTTGGAGATTTTGCGGCGTTGAAGTGGTCCTTGTCCTCATTTGTAGCGAGTATGGATATCCAAGTCCCTTCGACTCCCAAACCTGTCGAAAATTATCACAAAAAAAGCGTGTGATTCCTTGAACGCTCTCCAACGTCTTTACGTTAAGTTTGACCCGACCTCTGCTTGTTTTTCAACTTCCCTGTGAACTTGCAAAACCTCATTTAGGTACCCATAACAGTCTCAGCCTTTGCTCAAAGACTACCAATGAATAAATCATTCAAAGGAACTTCTAACAAACAAAATACTCATTAAAGTTAACGTACTAACCTCATCATCTGACTGTGTAGAGTTATTCCTCCCGTGTTGGGGCCGACTGGTGTGTCGACTAAAACTGTCTGGCAGAAAATCAGTGCTTTTACTCGGCTTTGTCAGCGCTTCCCATAAATATCCAGTACTTCTCAATCAGAAAATTTGACACTCCTGCCGTACTTGCAGGTGACAGAATCATGGAAATTCCGAATAATCGAATTTCACCGGAGAATCGCGTCAGAAATGGTGAAGCCACGAGATTTGGAGCTGATTTGTGGCCTGAGTATATCAGCAAGGAATCCGCAAGGAATTGCATATTTTCGAGGCTATCCTGAAAAATGCGTGTGGTATGAAGCGAAAAAGTCCGGACGTTTCTGCGGAATTTCCTTACTTACAACACTTCCGGACCACCTCTAATTCCTGACTTTACGGATTTTCCGGATCAAAAGTCCAGCACTCCTCCCAACCTTCTCGAGACTTTTTGTTGGGCGGACCTTCCTGTTGCCCAACTTTTGGCACGGCTGAGGGTACGAACACTGAAAAAAATAAACGTTTCATTACATTTCATTCTTGTATCTTTATGAAGGACCACTGAACAAGGTACAAAATAAAGTCTCCCAATACATATCGACGGTGTAAGTCGGCAATCACATAACTCGGTTTGCGACGTCGCAGACTTCCTGTCATACTTTATTTTTTAAACTGAAAACTACTCAACGGCAGTTCTTTGAAACTGTCGTGATTTTTCTTCTCTGCACGAAGAAAATCCTGCTTAAACTTCAAGGAATGATGTCAATTTGTCCTCCTTTAAAAAAATAACATAGAGGCGGAGATTTTCAGACACCGCAAACGAGTTAGGTGTTTAATTGCCAACTTACACCGTCGATATGAGAAGGCCGTGAGTGCGCAAAAAATGACGTAGTTTCAGGCAAGATAGCAGTATGTGGCATTATTCCTCCAGAGATCCAATGAAAACCGTGAAAAAATTTTCATCATGGAAGCCTCAAAATGCTTCCAAATAGAGTTAAAATTTCAAAAAATGTCCAGATTTATTGAAAACAACCATTCGAAAGTACCCTTTGCTGAAGCTATAACTTAATGTGTCACAAAAGGGGGGGGGTCTCCATTTGAAAATGTTGACATTGGGAGGGGGTGTTCCCTCCCTGCCCCCTCCGAGTCTGAGGGGGTCCCTTGAGTTGCAGGTAAGTACCATAGACCTCGACCACTTAGAATGTTTTACAGACACCCTCCCTTACCCTTACACTATCTCACTCTCTTATACTCTTAATCTCTCACACATAAGACAGGCCAAGCAATCATGGCTTCCTTCCTCATATTACCTTAGAATTGAAATTGTATTGAGCAGAGTTACATTTAAGAAGTTACCTGAAGGTTGAGGGAAGTGGTGCTCCTTATTGGGAGTGGATATCATTTCGTTGTTAAAGATAACGGGGTGCGGTGTCATCAAGGGTGATAATGGAGATGTTGACAAACTTGGTCCGTCATTGTGATTAAACCTACTGGAAAACAGAAGCTCCGATTAACGAAGATATTGCCTTCATGCTTTGGCGTGAAGAATTTACCAGTGTTCTAAGGTTTAATTGTTAAATATTTCAGACGCACGAACGTCACTGCGGGAACAGAAAATTCCCTTTTCATTCCTACTCAGAAATCAAGAATCGAAGAAGCAGGGGTTTCAACCTCCCTGCCGTGCATGGAAGAACGCCGTATGAACCATCAGGCGTTGCCAAATTTCCTTCGATAAATCACGAATTTTCGAGAAAATTTGCAAATGTTTTTCTTCCAATTTTTCAGATAATTTTGTTCGCAATTTTATCTTAAGTTTTTGAAAAATTTCTCGGAAAAATATTCATAACTCTCCTCAAAAATAAACATTTTATCGAAAGAAATTTGGCAACTCTCGAATGTTCATATGGCGTTTTTCCTTCGCAAGGCAGCTCTGCCTATATATTTTTTATTTTATTTTTTTTTAACATGGAAGATGAAACACTTCCGGTATGAGTATTACTGACGGGCCACAGGCCAAAGTCAGTAATACACGCTAACTTGCTTGAATAAAAAAAAAGAAAAATTTAAACTAAGATTAAAATCTTCATGAGCCGCAAAACTTACCTCGAGTGAGTATTAGAGTCTGAACTTAATAAGGTGAAGTCCAAATCAGCAGGATTATTTGAGAACATGTATGCAGAATGGAGATCATCTATTGATGGGGCTATTTCAGGAGTATGTACCTCAGGGTTGGATGGGATATTATTAAAAGTCGCCTGAAAAAGGGAAAGCAAATGGTAAGTAAAATTAGGTATAGTCTAATCGAGACGACATTGAGGTGCCACGTGCATCAAGAACATTTCTTGGTTGCGATGTCTCAATATCTCCACTACCAATTTATATTGTAGAAAGAAAACTATTCGGTGCATTTACTGAAATTTTTCGTTTACAGCATTGTAAACTCATAAAGAAAATTTAGTCAAAGTTTCAAGGAATTCCATTCATTTGTTTTAATTATGAAGGCTCAAATTTTTGGGGAGATTATAAGACTCCGCAACCCAGAAGTGCCCTTTCTATTTCCAGCGCCTCAATTTTACAGAAAAGAACCTAACGGGTTATATGACATTTCGTCAACGATTTTTTGTCCGCGCACCTGTTTTTTCCAGTAATTTACGTCCACGCGTTTTTTCTGCACGGGAGTTTTGGTCCACGTGCCAGTTGAGATCCAAAGTTAATTGGCCCACATGTAAATACAAACGACAATTGCTTACGACGTTTTTGGATGAAAACATATAATGTCTTGGAGGAATGAGGGTTTGCTTTTTTTTTGTTTTGTCTGTTTGGTCCAACGGAGAATAATATATAGTTGAGAGTTTTGTTAAAAATGGGGGAGCGTCAATTCCATGAGACAAAATTCACTAAAACTCTCTACACCTCTTTGGTGTAACAGGACTTAAATTATCTTTCAAGAAATTCCCACCTTGTCATATCTGAACCGGATAAACCTCTATATTTGCCTCAGCTAACGGCTCTTAGATTTTTCCTGTATACGATAAGTATCTTGATGTATTTTGCGAGGAAAGATCTGTACTTTTAAAGGATGCCTGTCATTCTTAATACGTTCAATTTCGTATAATACTGCGCAACAGCTCTGTTGTGAAATAGTTGCTTCAGGCGCCGCCGCACGGCGGGCGGGCGTAGGGTGCGTCAAAAAAAATGAAAGTCTGAAATGTTCCGCTCCCCAGGCGGCAATCGATGGCGTTTGGTAAAAAAACATGTTTGCCAAAATTTGGGCCAATTTCAACCATTTTAAATGGTGCCAAAGGTCAATTTTGTGATGAAATTATGATATTTTGGTTTAGACCTCGATTTCGTACAAAAAACTCGATTTTACGCTGAAATCGTGCGTTTACGAGAAAAATGCCAAAGAACTCGACTTGTAGAGGATGAAATTTTACACTAGGAAGACGTCTTTGTAACCGATAAAAATCAAATTGAACTAGAAAAACTCAACTCGGTATTTATTTTTTTGGTCCTCAGAATTTCCGAGGTCTTACAAAGTAGAGGTTTAAAAGACTCATTTTTCACGAAAATAAGTCGAAAGAGGGTATAAATGAACTGTAGGCAAGTGTTGAGGATGCAAATGTCATCAGAACTTCCTCAGTTACAAAAAAAGTTCCAACTATTTTGCACAATCCTCCAAAAAGTGTACGGCTTGAGAAGCAGGATCGTGCTATAATAGTAAGGGAAAAGTGCGGTTTGACCGGAAAAAATTGCGTAACAAACTTTCCCTATGTAATCGTCATCAGTAGGTCCCCCTGAACAACTTCCTAAAAGTTAAAAATGGCCCGACCCCGGAATACCCCTCAAAAAAGTTAAAATTGAAAATGGCGGCCGTAATAAGAGGGTCCGGGAAATCGGTATTTTAAAGTGCTCATTCTGTCTCATCATGTGAGGTATCATTTCCTATGTAATTTTGGTCGTAAATTTCATAAATGAATTCCGCAAGGCCCCTTCTGAGCTTACGTTTCTCTCGGTAGTCGTATGTTTCCTTTAATTTCCTTTATTAAATACATTTATAACATCAAATTTAAGTTTCATGGCCATATATGTAAATACATGAAAATAAAGACACTTCACTTTCCTTGTTCCTTCGGTGAATATTTAAAAAAATGCAACCACCTGCCTTTCACATTTGGCCGCCATCTTTGATTTGGAGCGCCCCCTTTGGCCGGAGGGCCTTGTGGAATTCATTTATGAAATTTACGACCAAAATTACATAGGAAATGATACCTCACATGATGAGACAGAATGAGCACTTTAAAATACCGATTTCCCGGACCCTCTTATTACGGCCGCCATTTTCAATTTTAACTTTTTTGAGGGGTATTCCGGGGTCGGGCCATTTTTAACTTTTAGGAAGTTGTTCAGGGGGACCTACTGATGACGATTACATAGGGAAAGTTTGTTACGCAATTTTTTCCGGTCAAACCGCACTTTTCCCTTACTATTATAGCACGATCCTGCTTCTCGAGCCGTACACTTTTTGGAGGATTGTGCAAAATAGTTGGAACTTTTTTTGTAACTGAGGAAGTTCTGATGACATTTGCATCCTCAGCACTTGCCTACAGTTCATTTATACCCTCTTTCGACTTATTTTCGTGAAAAATGAGTCTTTTAAACCTCTACTTTGTAAGACCTCGGAAATTCTGAGGACCAAAAAAATAAATACCGAGTTGAGTTTTTCTAGTTCAATTTGATTTTTATCGGTTACAAAGACGTCTTCCTAGTGTAAAATTTCATCCTCTACAAGTCGAGTTCTTTGGCATTTTTCTCGTAAACGCACGATTTCAGCGTAAAATCGAGTTTTTTGTACGAAATCGAGGTCTAAACCAAAATATCATAATTTCATCACAAAATTGACCTTTGGCACCATTTAAAATGGTTGAAATTGGCCCAAATTTTGGCAAACATGTTTTTTTACCAAACGCCATCGATTGCCGCCTGGGGAGCGGAACATTTCAGACTTTCATTTTTTTTGACGCACCCTAGGGCGGGCGGCCAGCGCGAAACGCGCATTGGCGCCTACAAACCTAAGTGGATACTTCAAGCATTGTGCAATGCGTGAAGTATCCACTTAGGTTTGTAGGCGCCTGTGAACCTCTCGCGCTGGCAGCACGCCGCTCCGCTCTGTTCGGCTTTAATATTTATGCTCGCATAGTCAGCGTTTTTTAACTCATGATTTTGAAATGTTAGCACACTCTGCATTGATTTATTCTCATTTAAATTGATGGGAAAAAATATGTATCAGTTTATCAAAGGAGAATAATAATTTAATGTGTGTTTTTAAATATTGGTGGTTCCGTGTCAAATTTAATGGTTCCCAAAGCACTTTAATTTTTTCTTTTACATTTTGTGCTTTTATTGTGCTGCAGCGAGGTGTACGCGCAACGAAACGCTCAACATTTGACGTATTTGACTCTAAAAGATCGATGTACAAATGGGTTAAAACTAAAGATTGCATGCTTCTTAGTTTTTGCCCCTCTTTTATTCATTTTTGCAGTTTCTGTCGGCACAACTGCGGCTCATTGAGATTAATGTCGCTTGGAAAAGGTTTTACAAATATTTGTCACGTTTTAAAAATATAAATGTTTTAAAAATGAAGTAATAATTTCGTAAAGAAAAAATTTTAAAAAAAAAATTTAAAAAAAGTACCTATACATGTATAAGGTATATTGTACATTCAATATTTTAAGGATAGAAATAAAACTAAATATTCACCAATGACAATTTAAAGAGACGATTCAAAAGGAGAAAGTAATAACATTTCATCTAGAAAATGAGCAACCATAGCAACACCGCTTTCTCTCTCAATTTCTCATTTCCATATTGTCAATATAATTTTATATACCGACTAAAATATAACGCTTGGACCAAGTCACTGTTGCTTATTTTACGTGTGGTTGTAAACTACTGGACAAAAAAGGTGCGCGGACAAAAAATCGTTGACAAAATGTCCTGAAACCAGGAAACGAATATTGTGCATAAAAGCTAAGTATAGAGCAAAATGAAAATTCAAATCCCTTCAATTTACAGTTCATATGCCAAGGGATATTTTGATTTTGATTTTTTTAAATTTTGGTTTCCATGTCGAGGAGGGGTTGAAACTCACCCCAATACGCCCCAAACATTTTGTTTGTTTTTAGGCTTGGTTTCCCATTTTCTTGTGTTTAGCTGTGTTAAATTCTTCGGGCATTTTTTGGGTATCATTCTCATACTCAAGTCAATTCCTAATTTTGCCACTCAAATATAATTATGCCAACTGGTGTATACGCTTTTTTTCGACGCTACAGCTCATGAAAATTGAGGACATTTTTCCAAAATTTGCCCATCGCTCAATCCTAAAGCGTCAAAAGGTAATTTAAATTGAGTTACAATAATGGCTTATACATGGATAAAAATATGTGTGTTCTTTATGTTACTTTCGGTTCATGTCGGAAGTGAAACGGAAGCCAATACAAATTTTGTGTTGATTTTGGTACAGTTTACGGTGAATTCAGCGCAGAAAATAGTGGTGAGACCGAGAAAATGCATTTCGCCAACATTTTCATTTTTAAATTGGTAAATAGTGTCAATTAAAGTGAGGAGAAACATTACACCTACTTTGCACTGAGACTCATCAAATACGCATGAAGGAACTGGAGGTAATGATGAGATGTCATGGTTTTGCTGGGATGAAGCTGAGCTGCCATCATAAGTCGTAAGGTACGCTCCACTGTAGCTACTTGAGTTCCCACTTAAACTTGCAGAGTTACCACAATTGTATACGGACTGGTTCAGATGACCTCCACAAGATTGGCTGTCTGAGCTGTTCTGTAAAACGAACGGGAATAGTTATCAACCTCAGTAACATGATGTCAGAGGTAAGATCTATAGGCAATATCTCGCATCTTCATCAATCTTGAGCTAAAAGAGATAGTTGCAGGGTCGGACTGGCTAACATCTCAGGGCGTAGACCCTTAGCCGGCTGAAGAGGCGTGAAGTGATATTTTGCCCTCCGGGGGGGGGGGGGGACACCCCGACGTGAAAGGCGATCCAGAAATTTCTGGCAAATCAGCACGATTTTATGCTATTTTCGGGTTCGAAGTTTATTAAGTAATTGCACAAAGCAAAAATGGGGAAATTTAACACTTTTAAGTAACCGGAAGACTTATAAATTGAAAAAAAATATATAAAATGAAAGGCAGGTACCAGACGCATCCATGCATCATTAAAAATCTAAAAGCTAGAAAATGATGCATCTTTTTCGGGGTTTCGGGTTCATGAACCCAAAAATATGTACGTCAAAAAGATCGTTTTAACCTCATCAAAAAATGAATCATTCAATCTAGAAAGTACATGGTAAAATTTTGAAGGAGAGACAAAGCGTTCAGAAAAAGTAGGTTTCATTAAGAAAAGTAAAAATAAAGAGATAGGAATACATGTATATTAAATGCATCAGAGATCTGAAGCAGGCTGCAGGGGGTCCTATTCAACAATCATTTTGCTGGCAATGGCAATATTTTGGGACGTCACCAACATTTGAAGCCTAATTTTGCAAGATTAAACATAACTAAATTTTATTAAAATTCATTGACTAATTTTGAATGGCTTCCTTTGGCTCCCCTCTTGAATCCAGAGTTTTTGGCGAACAAGGTGCAGTCATATTTGAATGATATTTTCATCAACCCTTAGATGCTGAAGCCCGGTCAAATTGACAGGAGACTTTATTTATTTATTATAACTTTCGTTCATGTGAGCCCCATTATTAGGGCTATGGCACAGGTCAAAAAATACTATACAATAATTAAAAAAACTAGTCACGCGACTAGACTTGTTTAAAAACTAGTCACGCGAGTTGTGAGGGACCGCGGTCCATACGAGCCGTAGACGTAAGTTTGTAAATATTTGTGCATTAAAAAGAGAATCAAACCTCAAATTGAAAAAAGAAGAAAAAATTGAAGAACAACAGAGTCGAGACGTAATCGGGCATTTTAAATTTTTCTCTCGAATCTTAGCAACACCTCACTGGCAGCATAGAAAGGAGCATCGCGAGTTCACGCATAGCACCATCGCGCCTTCAATTTTGCAGATGCTACACGGACATCCATCATGTACGAATAGTTGTATCTCTGCGCCGTCAACAATGCGCCTCCTTTTACTTTGCTCTATTTCCATACCGTGTTTGTTTTAGTTTGTCTTATTTGTATTTTTAGCGGTGCTTTAAAAACTGTATGAGCAATACAGCCATAAATAATCGAGCCTCATTTCTTAAATTTTCTCACGACACCTCATTGACAGCAAAAAACGGAGCTGCGGAACATCGCGAATTCACAGCTCGCGCCATCGCGCCTTCCATTTTTCAGATGCAACACAGACATCCATCAAGCACGAATAGTTGTATCTCTGCGCCGTCTTTCCATTTCCTCTCTCTCTCCATAATGTGTTAGTTTCGTCTGTCTCATTTGTAGTGGTGCTTCGAGGGCTACGTGAGCAATACAGCCGAAAATAGGACGTGCCCTAATCAATTGGACGTATTTATGCTAAAAGGAACTATGTGCATAGGGTTTGCGTGAGACATAGTTCCTTTTGGCATAATTACGTTCAATTATCATTTTGAAAAGAAAACAAGCTGCTGGTTCCAACACTACTGTGTTGGAGAGCTCGCCTTTGGGAAACTATTAACAACTATTTATGATTTTTTCTGAAATTGTATATGTATTAAATGAATCTTTACCCAATTATCAGAGGTTACATGCCGATGCAAAATGTTATGACGTAATTTCATATGACAAATTTTTCACATTACAATAAATAAAGAGAAATAAAGAGAGAGAAATG